TTTCTGAGCTCCTTGGCATCTGAGCATGGATATAAAGTCATCAGATAGATTTCAATAGTAATGTTTTTCACATCTACTAACTATTAAGGAGCAAAAAATTTTTATGCTTTGAAGAATTATTTTTTTAATCATTTAAAAAAATTTTTTAATAACTTCATGATTAGAAGAAGCATTTCACTACAGCTTTAACATATTCAGTAACACACTCCAGAGCAAGAGTACATCTCTTTCACAAGTAGGTGCAAGTTTCTAGGTTCACAGTTGAGTTAATACAGTTACACAATATTGAACTCAATATAAGCCCTGTAAGACATAAAATTGAGTTTTTTAATCTTTAAAAAAGATCTCCATTTCATTTTTGAATATTGTTCTTTGCAGAAAAACTCGTTGTTTTTGCTACTAACACTGAGATGTTGGTGCATGAATCTCTAATCTGGATGTATCTGATTATTGGTAGTCATAATGGGTTGTACTCGGATCTTTGTTTATCACCTCTACTAATTAGCATGATGTAAATTTCCATGCTTCTTCCTCAAATATAATACATTTTAAAATTTTTGATTTTTTTGTTTTGTATTTGTGTGTATATCACACAGAACATCACAAACCATCTTATTCAACTATACACCCACTTCCCAGATGGCACCGTCCCGTTGCCTCCCTCCCCCAACTAGAGCCCTTATACTCTGATATCCCTGCTACTGTCTGCTGTGTTGTCGGCACCCCAGCCATTCCCTACTACTTGCCCTTTTTGTGAATCTAGTCAGCCTATCTAGAGGTCTTTGTTTTAGGAGGGTCAGCTGTTCCTTGTCTAGCAGCAATCAGTTGTCAATATTCCTTTAGATAAGATTGGGCACTGTGTACTTTCATTTGACATTCAGTATAGACCTAAAAGCCAGCTGCTGTGAGTCTGTGCCTGAGAATGTACACAAGGGAAGGCTTTCTGGGTTTCCCAGCCACTTACGTATTTCCAACTCTTTCATCTACCTTAATTTTGGTGTTGAGAAAAGTTTTATATCCATTTTTCTTTTCCAACTATCTTTGCAATTAACAGATGACCCGGTCATATGAACTACATGCCTGACTATCAGCTGAATACCGTGCACTACTTCTGGGAAACCTGGCCCTTGGCACCCTCCAGGTTCCACAGACACTGCCTCACATGATGGTAAGGATTCCAACAGCTCTGACTACCTTACTCTGTATTTCATATTATTTGAAATAATTGATCCCATCTATTGTTTAAGCAATGTATACAATGTGAAACGTTCTGCGCATGACCTCACACATCTGGGAACACTTAGAGAATTTACCTCAAAGGGCTAGAAATACTAATTAGTAGCATTCCCTAGAACCATTGAGTTTCAAATGCACTCTGCTTTCCTAGAAACTCCACCAGAGGCCCCAGTAGCAGCCAAATAGACATGAATACAGCCTGTGCATTCTTGACCTGCTATATCAGCTCCAGAAGAAGACTTAGCTCTTGAGCACCTTAGTCTCTTATTCATTTTGATCCTGCCCTCTTGTCCTTTATGTCCCTCTGACCAAATTATTATAGGCCTCAAAGTATGTCTGTTAAACATCCAAGAAGGTTAGTTCCACCAGCCTGGTATTTTTATTTACTGTGTGTCATGTAGATAAATCTTGGGCAAAGACCAATTGTTCTCAGATAAACCATACCTAGACATGTATTTCTTGATATGTATTATTTAGTAGGCTGTAGGAGTAATATGGTTCCCTCTGGTTTTCAAATATTTGACAAAGGGGCCAAGAATATTCACTGGGGGAAAGACAGCATGTTCAGCAAATGCTTCTGGCATAACTGGATCTCCACCTGTAGAAGAATGAAACTAAACCCTTATCTTTCACCCTGCACAAAAGTCAACTCCAAATGAATCAAAGATGTCAATGTGAGGCCTTAAACTCTGAAACTATTAGAAGAAAACATTGGCAATTTCTAGGGTCACAGTTAAATTAACATAGTTATATAATATTGAACTCAGTATAAACATTGTCAGATATAAAGTTGAGTTTTTACCCTTTAAAGAAGATCTCCATTTCGTTTTTACATTCCTACATTTTTAATGATACTAACACTTAGATGTTTGTACATGTGTCTTTAATCTCTATGTATCTGATGATTACTAGTCACAGTCGGCTACACTCAGATCCTTAGTACTTGAGTATAGATATAATGGTTATTTAAACTCATTTTTTAAAATTGTTATATTTTATTGAGGCTCTTAAGTTATTTCTCATATTTAAATATGTTTCTGTCATCATGGTCTTAAGCAGCATTTAATCCCTGGAGGTAACTCAAAAATACGTGATTAGTACTCTGTATTCCAGAGCGTTTCTTTTCAAATTATAATTTTAA